GAATAAATAAAAATACATATAGGTAATAAATTACAAAATAAAAAAAATAAAGAAAAATAAATAAAATAAATAAAAAAGAGACAGAAGATAAATAAAAGACTGAATAAAAAGAAAATAAAAAACAAACAAATTGTAAACTTAAAAAAGCAGAAAAGAAATAAAAAGAAGAAATAAAATAAACACAATAAAGATGAAAGCAGAAGATAAAAGAGAGACAAAAAAGCAAAAAAGGAGACAAAAAATAAACACGAGCGGAGAGACAGAAATGCATAAAAAGAAAAAAATAAAAGAAAGAAGGAGACGAGAAAGAATAAAAGGATGCGAAAGAGAGACAAAACCCTAAACCCTAAACCCTAAACCCTAAACCCTAAAGAAATAGGAAGAAAGAAAAGGAGACAAAATATAAAAAAACAGAAAAACAGACAACTCAGCGAGGAGACAGAGAGGGGAGACATATGAACAGAACACAGACCCTAAACCCTAAACCCTAAACCCTAAACCCTAAACCCTAAACCCTAAACACTTTACCTAGGGGGAGATTAAGAGGGTTATACACGGGGCCTTCGTCTTCCTCCGCTTCACTTTCCTCCTCTGCTGCAGCAGCATCTTCCTCTGCAAAAACACCTAAACCCTAAACCCTAAACCCTAAACCCTAAACCCTAAAACCTAAACCCTAAACCCTAAACCCTAATACCACCTGGCGCCTATAGCCCAAACCTTTCGTTCGAAGCTCTCAAGCCGAAGCCATAAATTAAAAAAAAATTTGATCTAAACCCTAAACCCTAAACCCTAAACCCTAACCGTCTGAGGACTCCTCGTTGTCTTCTTCTAAAGCCTCCTCTGCATTTGTAGATTGTTTCTTCTGGTAGTATGCGATCGTTTGCTGCAACACAAAACCCCAAACCCTAAACCCTAAACCCTAAACCCTAAACCCTAAACCCTGAGCCCTATCTTTATTGCTGCAGATATCATTTTTTCTGGTGTGTGCATGCAGAAGCGAAGGGTTTAATCCTTAGGGTTTAGGGTTTAGAACCTAGGGTTAAAGACTGAGGGATTAGGGTTTAGGGTTTACATTGATTTGAGGTTGCAGCATATCGACAAAATATTTAATAGAGAATTCAAGAGAAGCAATATCTCTGTCTGTCTCCTCTGAGCTTTTAATTATTTCTTCTCTCTTCTCATTTGAAGATGAAGCAGCCTCAAGTAATTTCTTTTTATATGCAGCTGACTGAAGAAGAGAGAAAACGATATACAACAATATATAAATATAAATACATAAATATAAATAATACACAAAAAGAATAATATAAAATATAAAAAGATAAAAAATAATAAGAGAGATTTAAAAATTAAATAAATAAATAAATAAATATATAAATAAAAAATAAAAAGATAAAGAAGAGACAAAAGACAAAGAAGGAATAAAGGAGACAAAGAAGAGACAAAAGGAGACAGAAAAAAAATTAAAAAAACAAATAAAAGATAAAACTTAATCATCAAACACCTACAGATAATAATACTAAAAAAATAAATAAAAGAGAGCAACAGACAAATAAATAAGATGAAGATATAATAACTAAAGGAGACAAACAACAAATAAACAAAAGAAGAGATAATAACTAAAGGAGACAAACAACAAATAAACAAACAAAAGAAGAGATAATAATTAAAAAGGAGACAGCTAAATGCTTTACTTGTTGATAATGAGCTTTAGTATTTGGAGACGCAAATAGGCGATCTGAAAGGAGACAGTACAGTTCGAGCTTATGTGTCTCTGTCTCCCAGCCTCTAATTTGTTTGTCTTTAAACAAACGATTAAACTCAGCAGATATTGTCTCCTCGACCTATGCATAAACAAAACAAATAACAGAGACATTTAATTTTAATATCTTTTTCTATGCTTCTTTTGTGTTTTCTTTTTCTTGCAGTGTATACACCGCAAGACAAATAGATTAAAAGATAATATTAATAGAGAATGCAGGATAAAGAATAATATAATATAAGACAAACAAGATTTAAAACAAAGACAAAAGGAGACAGAAGGAGACACCGAAGATTGTAATTGAAACCCGAAAATAAATAAATTAAAAATAAATTAAAAATATAATTGTATATAAATAGATATAAACGCATGTACATATCTAAATAGAATATATACATTTATATAAACATATACACATATACATATACATATATATATATATATATAAAGAAATAAAAAAGAAAAGCAAATAGACAATAAATACCTTGTCTGCATCAGCGAAGGGGTTTGCTCTGAAGAAGAAATCTTTTAAATATTCAGCAAGACGAAGAAGAAAATCTCTATAATCTTTTTGTTTATATTTTAGGTGTCTCGGCACCCCAGAGAAATCTCCTAGTAAACGAATAAAAGATAAATAATCAAACATTGTCTCTTCATTCTCAGCTAATAGCGATGCAGCTCTTTCTTTTAATGCTTCTTCGCTTAAACCTTTCTTACGTAGACGAGATAACTGCAATACAAACAAACAAACAAATTTATTTATTTATTTATTTATTTATTTGTTTGTTTGTTTGTTTGTTTAGTTATATCAGTAAATATATTTATTTAAATGTATACATGCTGTTAGAAAGAGAAAACATAAAAAAATGCAGAGAGAGAGCCAGAGAGAATCAAAATAACAAAATGATAATCAAATAATAATCAAATTAATAAAATAATAATAATAACAATAATAACAATAACAATAGTAATAGTAATAGTAATAATAATAAATAATAATGATATAAATAACAAAAACAAGAAGATAAAGATTCATAGTAAAACAATAAAACTTGTTTCTTTTTCTGTTGTTTCTTTAGGAGAGTATTCTACAATCTTTATAATAATAATAATAATATTATTATTACTATATTATAATATTATAATAATATTATTATAACTATTACTATTATAAAAGATAAAGAATAAAAGAATAAAGACTTACTTCTTTTTCTGTCGACTCTTTAGCAAAATGTCTTTGAATTTTTTTCAAATTGCAAAACGAAGAAAAAAAATCGTCGAGAGACAAACGGCGGCCAAAGTCTTCGCTAGTAGTAAATACAGCATCTAGGTAGGGGGTCTGATTAAATAAATAAATAAATAAATAAATAAATAAATAAATAAATAAATAAATATGTGTGTATGATTAATAGTGATTGTAGTAATAGGGTGGGACTAAATATGTTAGAGAGAGATAAAAGAAGAAAAACATAACAATATTATAAATATAAATATAAATATAAATATAAATATAAATATAAATATAAATATAAATATAAATATAAACAACATTAAGAGACTGCTCAAAGAAGAAAGTAAAAAAAAAGAAAACAGAGACAAACAAAGAAACCCTTAGCTTTCCAACTTCCCTTAACTTAGGGTTTAGGGTCTATTAGGGTTTAGGGTTTAGGGTTTATTAGGGCTTAGGGTTTAAATTAATAAGAATGTTTAGGCCATATGATTAAAGCTGTTTAAACGTTAGGGTTTACAAGGGTTAATATTAGGGTTTAGGGTTTATAAAGGTTTAGAATATTAGGGTTTACAAGGCTTAGTATTAGGGTTTAGGGTTTACAAAGGTTAATATTAGGGTTTATACGGGTTTATAAGGGCTTACAATAAGGGTTTACAATAAGGGTTTACAATAATTGTTTATAAGGGTTTACAATAAGGGTTGATAATAAGGGTTTCTAAGGGTTTATTAGGGTTTATAAGGGTTTATTAGGGTTTATTAGGGTTTAGGGTTTGTGAGGGTTTACATCTAGGTATTCCTGAAGTATCTCTTGCGTAGAAGGCGGTGTATAGGGGACATTCTCTTCTTGAGGTTGAGTCAGCTGTCTCCTTTTATGCAGGCTTCGAATATCTTTTAATCTTTCATAGAAGTTTGTCCAAACATCATTGCTGCTGCTGCTGCTGCTGCTGCTGCTGCTGCGCTTGGGGTGTCTCTTACCCCCTAGAAAGAGCGTCTCCTCCATTTTTGCTTCATCTTTATCATTATATAAATTAATAATTAACTCTGCTTGCTGCTGAAGCCGAGTAAGACAATCGGAGACAGCTAGCTGAAGCTTTAGAGACTCTTTTCTCTTTCGTTCGCTCTTTCTTTTCGGCTTATAAGATAAAGGAGCTAGCTGCTGCTGCTGCTGCTCTTCTTCTTCTTCTCCTTCTATTGCTTGTTGCTGCAGCAGCAGCTGTGCTGCTACCTCTTCTAATTTTTCTGTCTCTTCATGCGCACCGCGAAGTAACTCTAAAACAGAGCTAGCCATCCTCCTTATTATTTATTTATTTATTTATTTATTTACTTTAAAATAAATATTTATTTATTCTTGTCTTTCTTTCGCTGCGGGTTGTCTTTGCTTGTTTGTTTATTATTCTTTGTTATTACTTCTGCACCTCCTTTCTTTGTTTCTTTCTTTGGTTGTTTATTTGTTTATCTGTTTGTTTATTTATCTGTTTGTTTATTTGTTTATTTAGGGTTCATTCACATTTACTGCTTTTTATTATTTTTTATCCTTTTGATATCTTATACTTGTTCTTTCGCTTGGAGTTGAGGTGTCTATACACCTCAGCTAAGGCCCCTCTTGAGAGAAATAATTGAAGAAAGACGAATGGAGTAAATCCAACGTAAATAAAGAATAAAGAAGGAGAGAAAAGGCAAAGAAAAAAGCAAAAAAAGAATAAACTATAGACGGCCAAGAAGAGATGAGAAAAGATGTATAAATGTTTTTCTAATCGATAAATAAGCAAAGAAATACAAAGAAAAACAAAAAAGAAATATAAATAATTATATTTTAACCCTAAAAACAACAAAAATCATACAAACAAGCAAACAAATACAAATAATAATAAGAGAGCTGCGCATACACCTGAAGAACCAACTCGCTGCTGCTGCTGCTGCTGCTGCCGCTGCTGCTGCTGCTGCTCTTCTTGCGTTTAGAATTAAAATAAATACCCCTCAACTGCAATTTTATTTATTTCTCTTCTTTCCTCTCCAAAAGATATGCATGCATGCATGCATGCAAACAGCAGCAGGAGCAGCAGGAGCAGCAACAGACTGCATGCAGCAGCAGCAGCCTTTCCTTAGCAGCAGCAGCAGCAGCTGCTGCTGCTGCAGCCCCATGTATGAATTACATTGTTGATTGATTTGTTTATTTTCTTCTTTTTCTTTTTTTATGTTTGTTTATTACTCTAAAGAAGCTCCAGAGACACCGCCAGAAGAAGACTCTCGTCCTCTCTCTCTATCGTATCATACGCTAGGGAGAGCAGAAATAAACCCCCCTCTGTTTAAGGGTTTAGGGTTTAGGGTTTAGGGTTTAGGGTTTAGAATGGTCTTTATAGACAGTGAAGGCCTACCCCTCTGTATTTGAGGTGTCGATACACCTGAACGCATCTCTTTAGAGTTGGTGCTCTGTTATATCGATAGATAAAACAGCAGAATATATATATATATATATATATATATAT